TAAAATATTTTATTTATTATATATATATATATATATATATATACATGTAAGTACAGCTTGATTATGCCAAACAATTATGCCAAACAAAATCCAATATTTTTAGTACATGTGTACAGCAGAGACTGTAAAAATTGCAAATAGGAAAGAGAGGACAGATACAAGAAGAAAGAATGTAAAAAGACAGAGATAGAGAAAAAGAGAAAGAGAGTTCGATGAAGGTAGAAAGCTGGACCACAGGCAGAATGTGACAGGCGAAGAAAACGAGAGAGGCGACAAAAGAGAAAAGGAGGCAAGAGTCCATCAGCTAAAGACCGGCTATCGTGCCGGCTAAGGGCTATTCCATGTTAGCTGTTCTCTCTGAGCTCCTTTTTTTCCACCTCTTTATTCCTCTCTGGAGCTTTTTATACTGTAACGCAAACGTGGCGCCGCCCTCGAGAATCCCTTCCCCGTCGTTGATCCACCGAAAGCATCTCTCTGCCGTTCGATCGTGACTCTTTTGATCTGTCCTTTTTCTATTAAGAAGAAAGGTTCTCTGCTCTGGTCTTTGCTTCACTCCCGCGGTTTTCTCCGTATTTTTATAGTGTAATTTATTCTTTTTGGTATTTTGTTGCGCCATAAAGTTCCACGAAATTCGGCAAAATGAATCGGGTGGGAAATGGCAATTTATTGTTGATAGCGATTTGTGAACGGGAAGGAGATATCCTTTCGAGTCTAGGATGGGCTTGATAATTGCGATCGAATCATCACAAGCGAATCTTATTATTTCAATCATTCGTGACATAAGGTGACGTGAAAGTAAAATTATGAGAAATGGAATGATAAAATTGAAAATATGATTTTTAATATTTCAGAAGAATCGAAAGCTTTGAAGAAAAATAACCAAATTATATAATTTTTTCTACAAGGTTTTTTTTGCTATAGATATAATTTTGCTATAGATACAATCGTAGATATCACGGTATTAAAAGTGAAAAAATTTCATGAAAATATTGCTGGCTAAACATGAAAAATCTTTATCGCGGCATAGTGAAGAGCAAGATTAGATACTCTATAGACGTTCGCTTAGTAGCGTGCGAAGCAGAACGAAAACATATTTATTAGAAATAAATGCTGTACAATAAAATGAGAATATTTCCGTCAAGGATAAGTCAAGTGGTCGATAAAGTACCGATGATTGAATCACAAACATTGGCGATGATAGCTGATGATGGAACGACGGAAGCGGTTGGTATTTTTCGAAAACGCAGATGTAAATTTTTCTTAGACGACACGATTATTTCGATTTAATGCATTTCTTGTCATCATTGTAGCGAATGAGTATATTTTAAATATGCAGTTACATTGATTGTTTTTTGTCGCAATTATCGAAATAATCTACTTGAAATACAAGGTGCTTGAAGAAATTTGCTTGTGTTTGAGTTAACTGATAGATGTCTTAAAATTGTGATTATTAATATTAATAATTAATCAGTTAATGATGACGATGTATATTTTGTCTAGTCTAATATCGATGTTACTTTGAATATTGGATTTGAAATTGTACGAGAATAATAATAAATTGGGAAAATGGGGAGAGAAATGAGGAGAATATACACAATTCTTCTTATTTTATGATAAAATTTTTACGATTTTAAATTACAAAACAGAAAAACACAATTATAAAAATTGATAAATTAATTTTCTAAAATAGGTTATTGTATCGTTTCCTTTTATTTAATTTAATCATTTATAAAAGTATTAATTCATCGTGGCAGCAACTTGATAGTATTATTATTAAACGCTAAACGGTAAACTGTTGCATACTGTTGCAATATCGAAACGGATAAGACACCTTCCAAGAAATGCGCGATGAAATGCGAATCGTGGCAGGCGGCTTAATGTACCGATGAGATATCGCCGATCGAGACTAAAATATCTCAATGCAGTATGATACTGATACCGTGAGTTGCATTTGCAGACACATTGCAGTGACAACAGTCAGCGAAGTGAGTAACACCTTTTCTGCTTCAAACACCGAAGTGATAACGCTCGAATCCATTGGATCCCATTCTCTTTCTCATTTGTTCATTATTTGAATAAAGTTCTAAAAAATTGTTTTATAATCAAGAAATACTCCGTACACTAATATTAAGATTTGCAACAAGGTATGATAAACATATAAACTTTTCCATATAGAAATAAAAAGAAATATTTATAAAAAAATATACTTTTGATGTTAAAAGCAGCACACAAGAAGGTGAAAACTAAAAACTTTGTAACATATCAATAAAAGAATAGAAAATCAATAAAAATGTAAAATAATATAACATCGCATAGAAAATAACATAATTGGTTTATAACAATAAAGTCTTAATTTTTTTCTAAAGAAAGTAAATTATGAATAAAATATTGTGACTATTTAATAACGTATTAAAATGTAAGAATATATTTCATGTGAAGCACACGTATGCACACATACTCAAAACAGGCGTATCAATCATCGATCTAGGAAAGAATTCGGTACTTGCTCATAGGACATTTCTATGTCATGCGTAAAAATATGATTTCTTCAATAATTCTCTTACTAGCAAATGCATTTTATATGTATGCACTAACTGACAACATTGCGGAATAATCATTTGATTCATCTTTCTCTTCTATTCTATGTATCATCAGTCAAAGAAACACATTCGTTTTACGCGCTAAGCCATGCGCAACGAAGAGCCAGTGGGATCGTGTATTATTTATGCGTAATCAACTTTTAGTTGAGAGTATTTTATAATCAATAAGAAACACATTAAAGAAACACAATATAGTTCTGGAAAAATTATTTAAAAAGAAAAGATAAGAAGAAGGAATAAAACGTATATAGGAGAGTGTTAAAAATATTATTGTCAAAAAACATAATAGTATTATGTTTTAATTACTTTGCAATTTTACACTATTTAAATTTGTTTTATGAAAATAACAATACGAAATTGCAAGTTGTCCATGCCAACTGT